GCTAATGATGTCAAACACCTTTTCCTGTGCTTATTGGCCACCTGTATACCATCTTCAGTTGAAATGTCTCCCCATGCCTTTTGTTCATGTTCTAATTGGGTTTTTGATTTCTTACTGTTTAGTTTTTGGAGTTTTTTAAAATATATTTTAGATGCCAATTGTTGGTTTTATATGAGGTTTGACAATATGTTTGAAACTTGTTTTTTAATCTTCGTAACAAGGTCTTTCATAGAGCAAAAGGTTTGCATTTTGGTGAAGTCCAGTTTAACAATGTTCTTTCTTATGAATCATGCTTTTGGATTCTATGAAAAGAACATTTTGCCTAGTCTTAGATCCAAAAGATTTTATTCTACAATTTTTTCTACAGGTTTTCTACAGTTTTATATTTTACATTTAAGTACATGATACATTTGGCATTAACTTAAAAGTGTGAGACTGAGATTGAGGCTTTTTTTTTCTTTTTGCTGATGAATGTACAATTGCTTCAGCACCGTTTGCTGAAAGTTGATCTTTTCTTCATCCGTTATCAAAGTCAGTTGGGAATATTTGCATGGGTCGATTTCTGGGTTCTCCCTGTCCACTGAGCTATGTGTCTATTCCTCAGTCTTATCCTTTGTGACTAGATAAGTCTTGAGATACATTAGACAAATTCCTCCTAATATTTTTCTATTTTTTTTAAGATGCATTGGGGTATTCTAGTTCCTTGGTTTTTTCATATACATTTTAGAATAATCTTGTCTATATCTACAAAAAATCTTGCTGGTATTTAGAAGGAATCACCTTGAACCTATGTATCAATTTAGGGAGAATTCCCATATTTACTACGTTGAGTCTTCTGATATATAAACCTGGCATGTCTTTTTATTTATTTAGTTATTCCCTGAATTATTTCATCAGTGTTATGTGGTTTTCAACATTTAAGTCCTGTGCATGTCTTCTTAGATTTATTGTTTAATTTTTTCTCAGTAATTGTATTTTTTTTTTGAGACAGAGTTTCGCTCTTGTTACCCAGGCTGGAGTGCAACGGCGTGATCTTGGCTAACCACAACCTCCGCCTCCTGGGTTCAGGCAATTCTCCTGCCTCAGCCTCCTGAGTAGCTGGGAATACAGGCACGTGCCACCCTGCCCAGCTAATTTTTTGTATTTTTAGGAGAGACAGGGTTTCACCATGTTGACCAGGATGGTCTCGATCTCTTGACTTCGTGATCCACCCACCTCGGCCTCCCAAAGTGCTGAGATTACAGGCTTGAGCCACCACGCCCAGCCTAGTAATTGTATTTTTTAATGTGATGTTTACCTGTTCATTTCCAATACAGGCATCCATCAGTAACCATGGGCAGTTTCAGAACCCCCACTATATGCCATAATCTGTAAATGCTTAAGTCCTTTATATAAAAAGGTATAGTATTAGATATCATTTCACTCCAGTTAAAATGGCTTATATCCAAAAGTCAGACAAAAACTAATGCTGGAGAAATTATAGATAAAAGGGAATCCTTAGATACTGTTGATGGGAATATAACTTAGTACAACCACTATGGATGACAATTTGGAGGTTCCTCAAAAAACTACAAATAAAGCTACCATATGATGTAGCAATCCCACTGCTGCATATATACCCACAAGAAAAGAAGTCAGTATATCAAAGAGATGTCTACACTCCCATGTTTGTTGCAGCTCTGCTCACAATAGCCAAGATTTGGAAGCAACCTCAGTGTCCATCAACAGATGAATGGATAAAGAAAATATGGTACTTATACTTGTGGAGTACTATTCAGCCATAAAAAAGAATGTGATCTTACCATTTGCAACAACATGGATGAAACTGAAGATTGCTATGTTAAATGAAATAAGCCAGACACAGAAAGACAAGCATCACATGTTCTCACTTATTTGTGGTATCTAAAAATTGAAGCAAATAAACTCTTGAACATAGAGAGTAGAAGGATGGTTACCAGAGGATGGAAAGGGAAGTAGGGGGCTGGGATGGAGGCTGGGTTAAAAATAGAAAGAATGAATAAGACCTACTACTATTTGATAGCACAACAGGGTGACTGTCAGCAATAATTTAATTGTACATTTTAGAATAACTAAAAGAATGTAATCAGATTGTGGCACAAAGGATAATTGCTTGAGGGGATGGATACCCTATTCTCCATGATGTGATTATCTCAAATTGCATGCTTATATCAAAACATCTCATGTACCCCATAAACATGTACATCTACTATGCACCAACAAAAATTGAAAATAAATTAAAAAGCATAGTATTTGCATATAACCTACATGCATTCTCATGTATTCTTTAAATCATCTCTAAATTATTTATAATACTTAATACAATGTAAATTTTATAAATAGTGAGAGGGGCTTGTGGGATGGAATGCTTCCTCTTGGGTGCTATGCTCACTAGCTGGGTGATAGAATTGTTTGTACACCAAGCCTCAGAAACATGTGATTTGCCCATGTAACAAACATGCACATGAACTCCTTGAATCTAAAAGAAAAGTTGAAAAAAAAAGAAACAGTAGCCATTAATACAAAGTTTCTTTTTTAAATTTTTTGCTCTTATAATAAGATAGATAATTATCACTTCTGTACATTTAATATATGTGACAAATATTTGGGAACATTTTGAAATGTTGTTATTTATTTTACAGGTCAAAAAAATCTATTCTGTGGATGACCTTGATGACTTGACTTGGTCATCTGAAAGAGCCTCAAAGTGTTGTGACTTGCCTTACTGTAATTATAAGAAGTTAATGTTGCTCTTTCAACACCTTGGAATAGATTTTAAAGGTAGGACCATTGGACAGATACAACTGATGTATCCTGTAGCTCGGCACTGCACCATAGAGCACTGCTGTGTTATGATGATGTTCATCTCAGAAATATGCCTTAGGTTAAAACAGAATGAGAACTATCATGTACTGTCCACTCAGTCAGATAGCTATGATAATTCCTCTGTACTTTTCTTGGTGTGAATGGCACTCCCAGTGTTTTATTTTCACTCTGCTTCTCTCTTATGCCTTTACCCAAGGACAGGTTACTATTATCTCCCATCTGGAATATTACAGTGACCTTAGAACTGTTTTTCTTATTACTACCTCCTGAAAATATGGTCTGCTCTGCAACTGTAATTATATATTTTTAAAAATCCAAATATTATCGTGTTACCTTCTTGCTTAAAACCCAGCTATTACTTCTCATTGCAATAAGGATAAGGATCTCAATCCTCCAGCATCATCCTTCATCTTCATACCTTTCTCTCTGTGTCCCAGCCATTGTCTTAGATATTTGGGACTACTTTCAGAAGCTTTAGTGAGGTATAACTTTTTTTTGAGACAGTGTCTCTCTCTGTCTCCCAGGTTGGAGTGCAATGGTGTGATCTTGGCTCATTGCAACCTCCACCTCCTGGGTTCAAGTGATTCTCCTGCCTCAGCCTCCTGAGTAGCTGGTACTACTGGTGCACACCACCGTGCCTGGCTAATTGTTGTATTTTTAGTAGAGATGGGGTTTCACCATGTTGGCCAGGCTGGTCTCAAACTCCTGACCTAAGGTGATCTGCCCAACTTTGCCTTCCAAAGTGCCAGGACTACAGGCACGAGCCACTGCTCCAGGCCTGTATCCTAACTGATATGTAATACAGTGCACATATGTAAAATGGACAATTGAGACATTTGGACATATGTACACACATGTGAGGTTGTCACCGCAATCAAGATAGTTACATATTCATCACTCATTGCAGTGTCCTCATGCTGTTTTCTATTCCCTTATTAAAAAACTGAATTGTTTTTCAGAGTATTTGTAGCATTCTATAGCCTATCAGCAGTATATGTCAGTTCCAATTGCTCTGTATTATTACATACACTGAGTATTGTGCTTTTATTTTTAGCCACTCTGATGGGTGGGTATTGGGTATAACATTATGTTTGTAATTGCATTACCCTAATAGTGCTGAGGATCTTTTCATGGGCTTATCTGCCATCTATATCTGTGGAGAACTGCTTTTTCAAATCTTTTGCAATTTGAAATATTAGATTGTCATTTTCTTTTCTTTTCTTTTTTTTTTTTGAGATGGGGTCTCACTCTGTTGCCTGGGCTGGAGTGCTGCAGCTCTATCTCAGCTCACTGCAACCGCCACCTCCTAGGTTCAAGTGATTCTTCTGCCTCAGCCTCCTGAGCAGCTGGGATTATAGGTGTGCACCACCATGCCTGGCCATTTTTTTTTTTTTTTTAGTAGAGATGGAGTTTCACCATGTTGGTCAGGCTGGTCTCGAACTTCTGACCTCATGATCCACCCACCTTGGCCTCCCAAAGTGGTGGGATTACAGGCGTGAGCCACTGCACACTGCCTAGATTGTCGTTTTCTTATTTGTTGAGTTTCAAGAGTTCTTTATGTATTCTGGATACTATTTCTTGATTTGCTATGTTTATTGCAAAAAGTAGTTTGTGGCTTGCTTTTTAAATTTTTAGTTCTGGGTTACATGTGCAGGTTTGTTACACAGGTAAATGTGTGCCATGGTGGTTTGCTGCACCTGTCAACCCATCACCTAGATATTAGGCCCAGCATGCATTAGTTATTTTCCTAATGCTCTCCCTCCCACCACTCTAACTTCTGACAGGCCCCAGTATGTGTTGTTCCCCTTCCTGAGTTCATGTATTTTCATTATTCAGCTCCCACTTTTATGTGAGAACATGCAGTGTCTAGTTTTCCATTCCTACATGGGTTTGCTGAGGATAATGGCTTCCAGCTTCTTTCATGTCCCTACAAAGGACATGATTTCATTCCTTCTTATAGCTACATAGCATTCCATGGTGTATATGTATTTCATTTTCTTTATCCAGTCTATCATTGATGGGCATTTGGGTTAATTCCTTGTCTTTGCTATTGTGAATAGTGCTGCAGTAAACATACAGGGGCACATATTTTTGTAATAGAATGATTAGTAATGCTTTGGGTATATACCCAGTAATGGTATTGCTGGGTCAAAGGGTATTTCTGGTTCTACATCTTTGAGGAAACTATCATCAGAGTGAACAAGGCAGCCTACAAAGTGGGAGAAATTTTTTGCAATCAATTCATCTGACAAAAGTCTAATATCCAGAATCTACAAGGAACTCAAAGAAATGTACAAGAAAAAAACCCAGCCCCATTAAAAAGTGGGGAAAGGACATGAGCAGACACTTCTCCAAAGAAGACATTCATGCAGCCAATAAACAAAAAGCTCAACATCACTGTGCAAATCAAAACCACAATGAGATACCATCACATGCAAGTCAGAATGGCAATCGTTAAAAAGTCAAGAAACAACAGATGTTGATGAGGTTGTGGAGAAAGAGGAATGCTTTTACAGTTGGTGGAAATGCAAATTAGTTCAATCATGTAGAAGTGGCTTTTAAAAAAATTCTTTTAATAGTATCTTTTCAAGAGCAGAAATTTTTAATTTTGATAAGGTCTAATTTATCTGTTTGCTCAATAATGGACTTTGCTTTTTATGTAATATCTAAGAAATATTTGCCTATCACAAGGTCACAAAGATTTTCTCCAATGCTCTGTTCTAGAAGTTTTATTGTTTTAGGCCTTACATCTAGATCTATGATTGATCCATTTTGAGTCCATTTTTGCATATAGAATTCATTTTTGTGGATGGATAGATTCAAGTTCATTTTTCAAACATGAATATCCAGTTGCTCCAGCATCATGTGCTGAAAAGGCTATCCTTTCTCCAGGCATTGCCATCATCCCTTTCTCAAAAGTAAGTTGACTTTCACTTTGGGAGGCCAAGGTGGGCAGATCATCTGAGGTTGTGAGTTTGAGACCAGCCTGGCCAACATAGTGAAACCCCAACTCTACTAAAAATACAAAAATAGCCTGTAATTTTTGTGGTGGTGGAGCACGCCTGTAATTCCAACAACTTGAGAGGCTGAGGTGTGAGAACTACTTGTACCTGAGAGGCAGAAGTTGCTGTGAGCCAAGATCGCACCACTGCACTCCGGCCTGGGCAACAGAGTGAGACTCTGTCTCAAAAAAAAAAGTTGTCTTTATATGTGTGGGACTCTTTCTGGAACTGTATTGCACTGTTATGCTCCTTGAATTACAGTAGGGTTACATCCTCATAAACCCATTAGAAGTTGAAAATTCATGTAATACCCTGATAAACCTACCAGAAAGGTGAAAAATCTTCAGTTGAATCATCTGAAATTGGGGACCATCTGTATTTGGCTTTCTTTATACAGGACAGCATCTCCAATAGAAAAGCCCAAAATCTGAAACTCTTTGAGTTCCAATATGATGCCACAATGGAAAATTTCACACTTGACCTCATGTATACAAACTTTGTTTCCTGTACAAAATTATTAATAGTATTGTATAAAATTACCTTCAAGTCATTGGTATAAAGTACATCTGAAACATAAATGTATTTGTTTCCCGTACAAAATTATTAATAGTATTGTATAAAATTACCTTCAAGCCATTGGTATAAAGTACATCTGAAACATAACTGTATTTTGTGCTTACACTTGGGTCACATCCCCAACGTATCTCCTCATGTATATGTAAACTTTCAATCTGAAAGCATCCAAAATTCAACACACTTTTGGTCCCAAGCATTTTGGATAGGGATACTCAACCTGGACCAGTATTATGCTCTTTTGATTACTATAGGTTTATAATAATTCTTGAATCCTCCAGTTTCTTTTTTTCAGTGTTACTTGGGGTATCATAGATTCTCTGCATTTTCACATGAATTTTAGAATCAGCTTGCAATTAAAAAAAGGTCCCACTGGCTAGATTGGGATTGCCTTGGACTTATAGATTAATTTGGGGAAAAATTGATAATCATAAATCTTTCCACTCCTGAAAAAATTTATCTCTCCATTTACATAGTTTGTATTTAATTTTCTCAGTAATATTTTGTAACTTTTAGTATATAGGTCTTTCCTTATTTTATGACATTTATCTGTATTTCTTTTTTATGGAGTTATAAATGATATTATAACATTTTAAATTCAATTGTTTATTTTATTTTATTTTATTTTTTTTTTAGTGGAGATGGGGTTTCACCGTGTTGGCCAGGCTGGTTTTGAACTCCTGACCTCAAGTGGTCCACCTGCCTTGGCCTCCCAAATTGCTGGGATTACAGTCATGAGCCACTATGCCTGGCCTATTGTTTTCTTCACTGGCTTTGAAACTCTTCTTGTCAGCCTTTTCAGATACACCAGGCTCTGACTAACAGTCTCTTTGAAGCCCTTTTGATTTTCTTACCCATTCTTCTCTAGGTCTTTTCAGCTTCCACCTACCTGCTGGTCCAAAGGCATCCGACATGTTTGAGTAGTTTGTATTATTGTTTTTTTTAATGGAAGAAACCCATATTGAGTATCAATATATTTATTAGTTATCTATTGCTGTGTAACAAACTACCTCAAAATTCATTGTCTCAAATTCTTCAGATCATCATGGCACTAGGAAAAGAAAAAAAATTGTGATTGAGAAATTATCCCATACTCTTGTATTGTTCTTAAGTCACATTCAGTTTTTAAAAAGTTTAAAATGATTCTGTTAATCTTTGGATGATCAGATTACATGAGTACCAATGTAAGAATGATCCAGATGTGTATAAAGTAGGTTAAATGATCAATGTAGTTGATATTGATAAATATCTTCAAGCTTTTTTTTTTAACATACTTAAAAGTGCTCTTGGGATCACTGACTCAAAACTAAAAGAAACAAATATACAAAAATTATTCAGGTTATAATTATTTTTAAAATGTATCCTTTTAGTTTGTCTTAGACACAAGCAGTATCACGAGAAAAGTTAGTCATTAAGAGAGGATAATGTTGCATCAATAAAATGGCAGATAGAACTCAGAATTTAAAATCTGGAATCCAAACTCTCCAGAATGAAAACTCAAGGAGATTTTTATAAAGCTGAACTAGGCAAATATCAGCAACTTTATTTAGAAAAATTAAAAGTTAGAGTATCTTTGTCAAATGAACTTAAAAAGTAAGTCAAAATAGAGAAGCACAGTTTGTAGTGAGACACGTTTATGAGATTAGTGGGAAGTGAAAGCTAATTTTGGACAATTATGTCCTTAAACGAACATGCCTTTCACATATTAGTCCAGGACAGCTTATGTCTCTCCCCTAGATTTGGGTTTTAGACTTTTTTCCCCCTTATATTCTTAAGTAGTTTACTTGACCTACTAGTCTTTAAGTATTTTTTGAAGCTTTATAATTTAGACAGTATTATTGTTACACAATTGCATGTCAGAATTCCCCCAAAACAAATAATGATTTTAACTTTTTTTTTTCACTGGAAGGATCCCATACTATCAATACTCTTGGCACATCCTGGCGCTCAGTACATTCCTGGTCCTTGACTGTGGTCTTTGGTATTATCACTAGAGGGCGCCTTGAAAAAAGTTATCCTATTAGTTTCCCAATCTATGTAAACTCATACTTGTGAAATAGAGAAAGATTAATACAGCGGTGAAGGGAAGAATAATTCACAAAGTGGTGAAAAGTAACACCTTGGTCATCTTGAGAGGCTGTGTGTAAGACAGAAAGGGCAGGTCCCACCTCCAGTGCCTTGGTTACAAACTTAGGAGGCAACTGTCTTAGGATCTGCTTTAGCTCTCTCATCACCAACTCAGCCATTCTCCCCAGGAGTTGTTGCTCTGAATGATTCGTCAGTGCTAAATGCTTAACTTTTCCCACGTAACAGATGAAATGTACAAGCATGGTGAAAGCAAATGCTTGAAAATGTCTTTGAGGCATTTTTAAAACAATCTCTAAACTGGTTTACTAAATATAAATATTTTTAGCTTTTTTTTACACTTAATTTTATTGTGTGTATTTGAGTACTACATGATGTTTGGATGTATTTACATATAGTGAGATGGTTCTTATAGTGAAGCAAACTAACATATTCCTCATCTCACATAGTTATCCTTTAAATACGAGTACTTCCAATGGAGAGACATTCCAGAAGGCAGCAAATGTTACCTTACTTAAGCCATACATCATTGATAGCCATTTCTTTTGCCTCCCTACTTTGTTTGAATTACCTGTTTGTTAAAAATCCCCCTAGAAACACATGTCCTTCTTTAGACCAATTTAAAAACTGTAATTGCATACAATAGGCATACTCTGACACATTTTCAGAGTTAAAACACCATGGGAATTCCATGACGGGTGGATCATGAGGTCAAGAGATGGAGACCATCCTGGTCAACATGGTGAAACCTCGTCTCTACTAAAAATACAAAAAATTAGCCGGGCATGGTAGCACATGCCTGTAATCCCAGCTACTCAGGAGGCTGAGGCAGGAGAATTGCCTGATCTGAGGAGGCGGGGGTGAGCCGAGATCGCGCCATTGCACTCCAGCCTGGGTAACAAGAGTGAAACTCCGTCTCAAAAAAAAAAAAACAGAACAAAACATGCAATTCATTGAGTAATCATTTTGGAAAACATGAAACACTAAGCATTTGTCTTTTATACTCTTCATGGAACTCAGGAGAGGCTAGCAGAAGTTAGTTATGATCTGGAGAAAGAGCAGACCAGATCTTTATTCACTGCTCACACTATGGGCCAGTCCTTCCATCACCTTTTGCTGGAAATCTTAATAATAATTAGGTCTCAAAAGAAATCATATTCTGAGAGAAAACTTAAAGATCCCATCTCAAGCTCACGAACTTTAAATAACAGGAGAGAGAGATACTCATCGAAGGTTAGTTATATTATTTTTTGGCCTTTGGCTTTCGGATTTCTGATATAATTCCTGTATTCTAGTTTTATTGAGTTATTTAATTAATTTATGCATGTTAAGTAAAGGTCAGAATTATCTGTTTTAGATAACATAATTATTAACATAAAGACAACATAATCATCTTTATTGTGTTAATAAAGATAATTGTTAACATAAAGATAACAATTATCTTTATTATGTTAATGAAGAGAGGACACATTTTAAATTTATTCTTTATTATGTTAATGAAGAGAGGACACATTTTAAATTTATTTAAAACCTGCATTTAAATTAGATTTTAGAAATGGAATATTATTGCCTAATAACTAAAGATATGTTTTGAGATGCTTTAGTTTAGTTTCTAATTTATTTTAATTTGGCTGTGGTTCATTGCACTTTTAAAGTTTTCCATTTGTAATCATGTGTGAATGACTGGCATCCAAACACTTAACCAAATATGGATGCTACTTATTTAAAGGAATCCAAGGTAAACACTTTTTACAAGTTAAATAAATGTGGGACATTAAAAAACGTTAATTTATCTTTAAAGTAAAAGTTTTGTGATTTTCTAACATAAGAAATCCTTAATTACTATTATATTTACAACAGTTTGTCTCAATTTTTGTAAAAGGTGTCTATTGCTAGACAACAGCTCTAAATAGTTAAATCAAGAAAATGTTTGAATTTTTGTTTTTGTTTTTTTGAAATGGAGTTTTGCTTTTGTTGCCCAGGCTGAAATGCAATGGCACTATCTCCGCTCACAGAAACTTCTGCCTCCAAGGCACAAGCAATTCTCCTGCCTAAGCCTCTGGAGTATCTGGGATTACAGATGCCTTCCACAATGCTCAGCGAATTTTTGTATTTTTAGTAGAGACGAGGTTTCACTATGTTTGCCAGGCTGACTCAACTCTTGACCTCAGGTGATTGACCCTCCTAGACTTCCCAAAGTGCTGGATTGTGGAGAGAACAGAGGACTTTCCTATATTTTATATTAAAATGTATATTATATATAATATATATTATTTATATTATAAAATAAATATATAACATTTATTATGTATTTATATAAAAACATATATATTTATGTAAATAAATACATACACACACACACACACACACACACACATCTGTTGCCCAGGCTGGAGTGCAGTGGGGCAATCTCGACTCACTGCTACCTCTGCCTCCTGAGTTCAAGCAATTCTCCTGCCTGAGCCTCCCTAGTATCTAGGATTACTGGCATGTGCCACCAAGCCCAGCTAATTTTTATATTTTTAGTAGAGACGGAGTTTCACCATGTTGGCCATGCTGGTCTCGAACTCCTGACTTCAGGGGATCTGCCCACCTTGTCTCCCAAAGTGCTTGGATTGCAGGCACGAGCCACAGTACCTGGCCAGCTAGCATAATATATGTATTTTTTGAGATGGAGTCTTGCTCTGTCACCCAGGCTGGAATGTAGTGGCGTGATCTCTGCTTACTGCTATCTTGCCTCCCAGGGTCAAGCAATTCTCCTGCTTGAGCCTCCTGAGTAGCTGGGATTACAGGCACCCACAGCATGCTTGGCTAATTTTTGTATTTTTAGTAGAGACAGAGTTTCACCATGTTGGTCAGCCTGGTCTCAAACTCCTGACCTTAGGTGATCTGCCCACCTAGGCCTCCCAAAGTTCTGGGATTACAGTCATGAGCCACCTCACCCAGCCATAATATTTTTACACAATCTTTTGCTGGTAGAATTTTCACATGGCATTATGATAGTACCACTTTCTTCATGTATTTAAGATTTTGTGCTTTAAAATTAATAGCATAAAAAAAACTTTAAATTACAGAGAGATGACTAATGAGAGTCAAGAAAGGAAGGCAGAGCCCCATGCAGGCCCTCCTCTCCCTGGGGACAAGACTGGTCAGTTGCAGGCCGGCATGTCTGCCTTGCACCCACCTGGCCTTGAACTACCCTTGTGGGACCTCAGGGTGGCCCCAGTTTTACTCTGCTGGGTGAGGAGCTGCTTCCTGCTGTCTGATGTTCTGGATCTTGAGGTTACACCCAGGCCTAGCAGGTCTGAGTCTCTCTCCCTGCAGTCTCCAAGGCCACGTGGTCTCGGGCTTCAACTCTGTCCTCTACTGGACGGCCCTCTGGTCAGGTCCCTGGAAGCACACATGGGAAAAGATATGCAACCATGTGCATGTGTGTCCACATATGTGAACACAAGTATATGCATGTGTGCATGTATACACGTGTGTAGGGGAACACCTTGTGAGGCCCCCTACAGACCTTTTTCCCAGGAGAAGGCTATATCCCCCAGGGTGTCAGGTGTCCACTCAAGCCCCCAGGGGAGAAGTGGTTGGGATGCAGGCAGAACCGCTGTCTCAGATGGGCCCTGAGGCTGTCAGAGCCAAGCCATACATACAGCCTGTGCGGCATCAGCCAAGGTCTGGCCAGAATGGTCCCAGGGAAGTGTGGGGAGGGGGCATTCAGATCCATCCACTTACCTCTTTATTCTCCTGGAAGACAGTCACAGGAGCTTGCTTGCCACCAAAAGTTCCATGCACCCCCCACCCCCAGCCTCTCTCTCCTTATCAGGTCCCTTCTCTGGGCATAGGCCTGAGTGTGCAGCCTGAGTAGCTGCTAGCCCCAGAGATGGGATCTGTCTGCACACTGGGGAGCTCCCAGTGCCTAACTCCAGCTTTGTCAACCCTGGCGAGGGTGGGTGACAGGTAGCACCCGGTCCTGTGGTCCAGGTTAGTGTTCCTGTGTGGGCTGCCCCCTGCTTCCTGACTCCCTCCATCACCTCCCCCTCAGCAGGCTGGCTGTGTACATAGCAGCTGACTAAGTCTGAGCCAGCCCGTCTTGGCAGCTCTCTCTCCTGCCTGTGAGGGTGACTTCACTTTGGCTTCAAATTAACAGAAAGATGTACAGATCACAGATTCAAGCCCTGAGACCCAACAGGACACAGCAGGAATAAGAGCAGCTGGCCCAGGGGCACCCCAGGCTCAGGTTCCTGGGCTGTCCCACCCCAATGCCCCATGGGCTTCCCTTCATCCATCCCTCTGTGCCTATGTGCAGGCCAGACCTTAAGAGGCAGCTGGGGGGTGGGGACAGAACAGAGGACTTTCCTGTTAGAGCCTAAAACACACATCCAACCTCAGCCCACAAGCCTCCCAGCGCAGGCCTACTGGCTTCTCCATGTGAGAGGTGTCTATGTTTGTGGCCATCATTTCTTTGGGGGAAATTAGATTCTTTGGGGCCCCAATTCCTCTCTGCTGCTTGCCCTCCTCTGCTGCCTGCTCTCCCCTACTGTCAGTCCCACATCCTGAGTGCCGTGTGTGTGTGTGTGTGTGTGTGTGTGTGTGTGTGTGTGTGTGTGTGTGTGTAAGGATGCCTACCCTTATAGCTCCCCCCATGAGGCTGAAAGGGGACCAATTCTCCCATACTCCGAATATGTACAGCTTCCTTGAATAAACAGAGAAATTGATACTGCTAGTCCTAAAGAAAGTTACATTTGTTTCATCTCATTTCCCTGAAACTGACCAGCCCGGGGCTTGACAATGAGAGACCAGCCAGCCCCTCAGCTCCTCAGCCCCCACGATTGCCTAAGGGACCACCTGCTGCCTAGTAACTAACTCCCCAACTCCTGTTTTTCCACGCATGGTTACATTTCTTCCTGGCTAGCCCTGCAGTAAGCCCAGCCTATCCATTAACCTGGATGTTGAGAAAGGCTCTCTTGGCTCCCTTCCCTGCCAAGCTCTTTCCCTTCTCCTGCTTTTGCCCTGCCCCCACCCCTTCTTCTGAGGCTCCCCCGTCCACTGGGCCTGGGCCACTGAAAAATAGCGGGGGTGGGGGTAGTTCAATCTTAGGGGACCTGGGGAGGCAGGCGGTTCTCCGAGTTTCCTTAGTTGCACCCATAGACATTCCCGAGTTGCATCCCCCTCTGCTCCCCTGCCCTCTCTATGCAGCTAAAAGGGGCAAATGCAGGTACAGCAAGCTGAAGCACAAGGTGAAGAGAGTGGCTGCACCTGTAGAGGTGCTGGGACCTAGGCTACTGGTGGTCTTTCCGGAACCAGGTTCTGATCCTACCTGTGCCCGGCACCCTACTCCTGCTGGTACCTTGCTCCCACCAAGAGCCCTGCCCTGCCATCACCCTCCACCTCCCCACCCTGGTCCTAACCACAACCCACCCCACCAGCACCCTGCTCCTACTCACTCTGCCCTACCCACACCCGCCCTGCTAGCCACATCCTACTGATGCCCCACCCCACAATCACCCTGTCCCTACTGCACCTTGTCCTACCCTCCCACACCCCTCCAGCACCCCGCTCCTACCCACGTTTCTCCCCACCAACACCCTACCCTGTCAGCATCCTGCTTCACCTGGACCTCGCTTCTACCCATGCTCTGCACCCCCAGCATCCTACTCCTACCCACGCTCTGCTTCTTCCTGGACCCGGCCCAGCTGTCACCATGCTCCTACCTGCACCCTCTCCTACCTACGTCCAGACCTAGCACCACCCCATCCTACACATGCCTGACCCAGCAATCACCCTACTCCTACCTGAACCCTGACCCTACTCACACCCCGCTCCTACCCATGCCCCAGCCACTCCAGCGCCAGCCCCTACACGAACCCTGCTCCCACCCACGCACCGCCCTGCCAGCATGCCATGCTACCCACGCCCCACCCACCAGCACCCTGATCCTACCTGCACCCCATCCCACTATCATCCCACTCCTACTGGCACCCCTCTCCACCTCGCTCCCCACACCTAACTAAGAAGGAAGACCCCCTCACCTCCTTCTGTTTTCCAGTCTCCACCTCCTCCCTCCTCTCCTCTCCAGATGGGAAGGAGGGTGAAAAAGTGAATAATAAATACCAAAGAGCTGGGAAGATGATGCCCTTTTCAGTTCCCAGTGTCTCTGCTATCTGTAAACCTTGAAAGAGTTGCAAATGAATGTTACTCCTATCAGCTGGAGCCCGGCACTGGGTCACACCCCCACATCTGCAGGGACCAGGCTCCCTCCTGGAAACACCTCTGCCGACTAACAATTTACTGCCTTTGTCTTGTCTCTGTAAGCCCCCTCCCATGCTGGTCCCCACTTTGGCTGCATATAAATTAGCAAATCGATGAGGCCAAAAGATTGTAAGGTTGGACGCCCAGCAAATGGACAATGACATAGTTTTGCCTCAGTTTCCCTGTTAGCGTTGTAAACCTATGGGAGAGAAGCTGCTTCTTGGGAGCTTGGTAAATGAGGCTGTAGCCCTCCCGGAGCTCCTGGCTGAATAAAAACATTTTCTTTCTCAGTTTAGTGTTCCAGAAGTTTATTTCTCACTGTTCCTACTTCATTTTGGTTCCCTGACTGGGAAATGAGTTTCAGTTGGCAGACGGCCAGGACAGCCTCCCAGGCAGCTTTGCCTTGCCCTTGCAGGGCATCTCCCTGGGGGACTCCAGCCTGCTTGGGCACCAGGATTCTGAGAGCGCTCCCAGGTAGGCATCGGCCCCAGTCAATCCTTCCACACAGCACGACCAGGCGGGCCTGTGGGGATACATTGCAAAAACTGAACACCTAGAAGGAACTGGTGCACTTGGAATCCGGATGTTAGAAACTTGGTAGTATTAATTCTGGGAAGCTTTACTTACCCACCACGTTGGGTGGAGGTGTGGCCTGCTCCACCATGGTGTGCCAATGTAGGCACCTTGGTTTTGATTTTGTTCTTGTGTGTGTCAATCTAGGCACTTTGGTTTTAATTCCGTTACTCTGTAAGCCAGTCTTGGTGCTTTAAACTTGTTTCTGTTTCTGACTTGGTTGGAGGGCGGAAAGTAAAAGTGTGTGAAAGTGCACAGAAAAAGTATTGCACTGTAACGAGTGGGAGACTAAGGATGAAGGGCAGAGTCCTGAGTTGTAACACTGGGCAAAGTCAAGAGCAGCCCCATGACCTTTTGGGGAGTGCTCTTCTTACCCTAACAAAGGGAGATGGGCAAGACACAGTAAATCCAGTCCATTGGGAACTATGCTGAAGAATTTCAAGAAGGGATTTAGTGGAGATGATGGCACCACCATGATGCCAAAGAAACCTAGAACTCTGTGTGAATTATCCTGGCCAGCATTAGAAGTAGATTGGCCCACAGAAGGGAGCCTGGACAGGTCCCTTGTCTCCAAAGTGTGGCACAAGGTTGCAGGCAAGCCAGGACACCCTGACCAAGTTCTGCACATAGACTCTTGGTTACAGTTATTTTTAAACCCCCCACAGTGGTTGAGGGGCCAAGCAGTGGCTGTGTTAGTAGCAAAGGGACAGGCAGTTAGGGAAAAATCTTGCTCCACCCACCAGAGGATGCAGGCTCCTTAGATCTTGGCTTACTCAGCACTAGAGGACCCCCTTCCAATAACACCCCCTCCTTGCCCGGAGGAGAGGCTCCCCATTCCAGTGCCAGAGATCTTGATGCCTCCAAAAGAGTTGAACCCCCCTAGAGCAGGCAGAGTAGAAAGAAAAGGAAGTGCGGCCTCGGGAGGCACCCCTCTCATAGTGACCTGCTTCTCAGGTGGATCCCCTCCCCTGGCGGTTCGTTTGTGGCACAAGGCTGGAAAATAGAAGTCTGTGTTGAAACACATAAATTTGTCTATTATTTTTATAAATGAAGTGAAACTATCTCTCAGCACACTTAAAGAGGCTCTGTTTCTACATTTTAAAAGAAATAGCAGCCAGGCACAGTGGCTCATGCCTGTAACCCCAGCACTTTGGAAGGCAGAGGCGGGTGGATAGCTTGGGATCAGCAGTTCGAGACAAGCCTGACCAACTTAGCAAAACCCTGTCTCTACTAAAAATGCAAAAATTAGCCAGGTGTGGTGGTACACCCCTATAGTCTCAACTACTTGGGAGGCTGAGGCATGAAAATTGCTTGAACCCAGGACACAGAGGTTGCAGTGAACCAAGAAAGTGCCACTGCATGCCAGCCTGGGTGACAGAGTGAAACTGTCTCAAAAATTAATAAAAAAATAAAAATAAAAGAAATAGAAGATTAAGGAAATACTACAAGAAACTCTAATTCCAACACTTTGGGAGTCTGTGGCAGGCTGATCACACAAGGTCAAGAGATTGAGACCATCGTAGCCAACAAGATGAAATTCCATCTCTACTGAAAAAAACAAAAATTAGCTGGGCATGGTGGTGCATGCCTGTGATCCCAGCTACTCAGGAGGCTGAGACATGAGAATTTCTTGAACCTGTGAGGTGGAGTTTGCAGTGAACTGAGATTGTGCCACTGCACTCCAGCATGGTGACAGAGCATGACTCCATCTCAAAAAAAAGCAAACCTCTAATGTATTACTCTAACACAATAAATTATTTCTTCTGTAAGAAAAAAAGCAAAAACTTTAACATTATTTCATTCTGCTCCAGCATGTTAATATATTGAGAAAATGTCACACATGTTAATTCAGAAGCTTCTCAACTTATGATGAGGCTATGTCCCAAGGAACTCATCATATTATCCACCTCATCTGGCTAATTTTTGTATTTTGGTAGAGACTGTGTTTCTCCATGTTGCTTAGGTCCTGAACTCAAACGATCTTCCTGCCTTAGCCTCCAAAGGGCTGGGGTTACAGGTGTGAGCCACTGTGCCCAATCTACTAATAGAGATTTTAAAACAGCTATTGTAAACGTGCAGAGACAAAAAGGAAAACGTGCATGCACAATGAGTAAAAAGACAAAAATCCCAGGAGAAAAACAAATTACGATAAAAGCAGAAAGAATGTCCCAGCATATTGGCTTATGCCTGTAATCTCAGCATTTTTGGGAGGTTGAGGTGGGTGGGTCACCTGAGGTCAGCAGTTTGAGACCAGCTTGGCCAACATAGTGAAACCCTGTCTTTATTAAATATACACAAATTAGCCAGACATGGTGGTGGGTGCCTGTAATCCTAGCTTCTTGGGAGGCTGAGGCAAGAGAATTCCTTGACCCAGGGAGGCAGAGGTTGCAGTGGGCTGAAATTGTGCCACTATAATCCAGCTTGGGTGACAGAGCAAGATTCCATCTCAAAAAAAAAAGAAAAAAGTAGAAAGCAAAGAAATAGGAAAAAATCAGGTCTTAGTGAAAATTAAATAAGCAAAAATTTGCTGCTTTGAAAGGATTGATAAGATTGACAGACACCCAGCTAGACTAACAAAACACCCAAAACACAAATTGCTTATAGCAGAAGTGACAGGCTATCACTAAGGACCACACATATAAAAATTATAATAGAATACTATAAACACAGTTGTAAACACATTTTGCCAATGAATTTGAAATAACTCTTTTGCCAACAAACTTGAAAACAAATGAATTTTATTGGAAAAAAAGTTATAAAAATGACACAATCGGATATAGGAAATCTAAATAGTCATATATCTCTTGAAGAAATTGTAGTCAAAAAGTTTTCCACAAAGAAATCTTCAGTCCCTGCTGGTTTCATTATTGAATTCTACAAATAAACAGTTCAGGAAAAATGTACGCAAACTCGCTAGAAAACAGAAAATGGGGGATTTTTTTCCAATGTATTTTATGAAGGCTGATATAATATCAGTATAAACACCTGACAGGCTGGACGTGGTGGCTCATGCCTGCAAAACGGCACTTTGTAAGGTTGAGGTGGGTGGATCACCTGAGGTCAGGAATTTGAGACCAGCCTGATCAACATGGTGAAACCCTGTCTCTACTAAATACACAAAATTAGCAGAGTGTGGTGGCACGTGCTTGTAAACCCAGCTACATGGGAGACTGAGGCAAGAGAATCCCTTGAACCCAGGAGGCAGAGGTTGCAGTGAGCTGAGATTGCTCCATGCACTCCAGCTTGGGTGACAGAGTGAGATTCCATCTCAAAAGAAAAAACAAACAAAACCCGGCAAAGACATCACAAAAAGAGAAAACTATACATCAGTTTCTGACATGTGCATAGCTGTAAAAATTCTTCTTTACTATCACAATTAAATTTAATTTTAATTGTACAGTTAGTGAGTGCAAATAAATTTTTCTTAACAACTGAAATATTGAAATAAAAGATAATATTCCATTTAACTATTCCCTATATCCCATCCCCTTCCTCTTTTTTCTATTTTTATAATTTTTATGATTGTAGACGTTAAGAAAACTTTTATATACACAAATATAGACCTATTAAATTTCAAAAACAAATACATGGCCGGGTACGCTGGCTCACACCTGTAATCCTAGCCAAGGCAGGAGGGGTCAGGAGTTCAAGACCAGTGTGGTCAATGTGGTGATATCCCATCTCTACTAAAAATACAAAAAAAAAAAAATTAGCCAGGTGTGATGGTGGGCACCTGTAATCACAGCTACTTGGGAGGCTGAGCCAGGAGAAATACCTGAAACTAGGAGGAGGAGGTTGCAGTGAGCCAGGATGGCATTGTTGCACTCCAGCTTGGGCAACAAGAGTGAAATTCCATGTCAAAAATACCAAAAAAACAAACAAAGAAAACCCAAAACACATACATTCAGCAACTTGCTTTTTTTATGCTAAAAATCTATATATGTTAATTATCTAGTTTTATTGAGGAATATTTTATATATAATGAACATCACCAACTTGATGTGCACAATTTGATGAATTTTAACAAATGTGTATAGTATTGTAATCACCATCATGATCACCACATAGAACATTTCTGACATTCCTAAACCTTTTCTCCTTAATGTTATGCAGTCAATTTATGACTTTCACCCCTCAGTCCTGGCAACCTCTCATCTGTTTTCAGTTGCTGTAGTTTTAATTTTTCTAGAATTTCACTTAGAAGAAATCATACTGCATGGAGTTTTTTTTTTGTTTTAAATCTTAACAAAAATATTACCATATATAATTCATTTGTATATAAAAAAGATAATAGATTAAACCAAGTGGCATCTTCTAGGAATGCAA